TTTGAATTATTTAAAATCCAAACATGCCTTTTAGGGTATTACCTAAAGACCATCACTATGGTCTTCTTGTAGCTGATTTCCAGAGCTTAATTGGCCAATAATTGGCCAAAGCTCGCAGTGCCCTTCTAAGGCGAATCAGAGTCTGGGAAAGTAACACTTCGCCATCCGGATAGATGAGATTGAATATTTCTAAACCAGCTTTATCATAGGCAAGAATACTCATTATCTTACACTTAAGGAGAAAAAACAGTATATAAGGAGAGGATGAAGTACTGTAAAGAAGCATTAAGAAAAACTACAATTTCAAGAAAAAAATCACCATTAATCAATATCACAAAACATCGCCATAAAATCCCCATGTTTTTTCAGGGCACATGGAAAACAACAATAATCTACCATCAATCAAGAGATCAGACAAGAGTGGAAGTTATCCACTGCTATCTTAGGAATGTTTCCTTTCTCTCACACACAAACAAAAAGAATGAATGCCTACAACGGGCAAATGTATGTAAATATATATTCTTGATTAGCTAATTGCTTTAGCTACCATTTATGGTTAATCAATTACTACAGGGTAAGGTTTTAGTGAGTTCAGTGGCAGTTCCAAGTAAACATAAGATTGCACTCTTTAACTGAGAAATACAATTCTTAACTCAAAAATATTACTTCTCAACAAAAACATCACTTTACAATCAGGTCAACTGTTGTTCTTATGACAGAAAAACTGAATCCCCTCCCCTCCAATATTTTTGAAACATTCACATAAACAATTCTGATTTTCTATCATTAAAATGAGGTAGGAGCAATCACTTATTCAACAGGCCACAAAACCGATTGAGGTCTTCAAATGTTTCAAGTTAACTTGTTTGCATGTCCAAATTAAGAAAGGAAGAGAAATGTAAATGTGTAAAAAGGCACTGGGAAAGTTACATACTTTTCAAACAAATGCCTGCTAACTTCTGCATCCACTGCACTTAATGGATCATCCAGAAGATAAATGTCTGCATCCTGATACACAGCTCTAAAAACAGACAAGGAAGGAACAATGAGGTTGCTTCTAAAACAAGTGTACATTTCTAGCAGCAAGGCCTCGCCGATACAGAGAAAGGAGGGTGATCTCAAATCTCTTCTTCCAGAAGTCATCTGACTCTTATACCACCTCTGCTCCACTTTCTTGCCCTGGTGCAGCTATTGGGTAGTTACTGCTGCCCCCACCTATCTTTGAGGGAGATGCCTTACCTGGCGTCCTCCCCTTTAACTGTGATGTGTGTGAGAAGGAGGAATCCCACAACCAAGGGCCTTATGTGTGAGCAAGAGAAAGATTATAAAACAGAAATAAATTTGATAATGCCATTTCCTGGCCCTTGTAACTTTGAGATGTTAGATGAGTAGCTTGTTAACATTTAAAATCAACCTTATTAAAAATAAGAAAGAAAATGTCAATCTTCCATTTTAACTTTAGATGGTTGCATGAAAAAACAAGTAAGGATAGATAAAATAAGAAATACAGCACCAATAACATCCTGAGCAGCATTCTAAAATAACCTCCCATAAAGAGCTATCAAGAGCATTCCCCTGGGACAGATCCAAGGTGGGTGGGATTTAGTTGATCAGAGACAACTGTTGTAATAAGTAAGTAAAGCAAATCAAAGGTCTCATCACATGTTCTTGGTTCAAAATGGTACCTCTCTCCAGCAAACAATTCTGGGCTTGCTCTGACCAGGTATTCTCTGACTCCTATAAAGCACATCCTTACATTAGAACCTTAGGAGCAATTTTGTCCTTAGTTTCTTTTCTCCTTTTCCCTGAGGTAATTATTGACTGAAAGAGATTTGTCTATCTCAACTCTTCCTGAGTTCTTTGTCAGATGATCTCTAAGGTTTCCAGGAGCTCTTCCTTTCATTTCCCCAGAGCTCCCTCTTTCTCTCTTAAGGCCTTGATTTATCAGAAAAGAGATATCTTTCTGTATAATGCATCAAAGCATGCATCCTCTGTCCCTTTGTATGATGTGGATTCAAACCCAGGTGAATGACTGTGGATTCTCTGCCTGGGACACAGCTGTCAATCATGTGGTTGCCAGGTGGCATCAAAAGAGGCTTTATGAGACGCTTCTCACCTTCTTTCTTGAAGGCTTTCTAACAGAGTGGCACAGAGCAGTACTATATGGCCATCTCCAAATCATAATTTGCAAATCAGGATGTCAGCCTCTACAATGTGTATTCCTTTGTATTTCTATTTCATACCACAGTATTTATTAGGGAGCAGTCCACATACTGTTCTGATAAATCATGAAGTGATAGTGGGACTTGAAGATCTGCTCACCAAAAAGAATTCTCTTTGCCTTAGAAGAGTTGAGAAAGGAAAGGGAAAGAGAGAGAACATTGTTTCTCTCACAATTTGGTCTGGCCAGTTAAAAGGAAGACAAGTTTTTGAAAAAGAAGATCAGATAGAAGATCTGATCAGTCTGAAACTTAATCCATATAATTACAGCTGTATCTGCTTTAAATGACTTTGGTGAGCTACATCTACAGTAAACTCTGGATGTAGATGTAAACTCCCAGGTAAACTCTGCGGGAGCAGAAATGAGTATATTAACTTTCGTCCTTCAGCCTCCCTGTTCTCAAGACCCTCTACCAGGAGATGATAACTGTCAGAAGTCAGAGACTCACACTTAAAAAAATATGGAGAGAGCCTCCATAAGTAAGGAGATATCTCTTCTGCAGAAAAATGCTTTCCATATGTAGCTATGGCTCATGTATAGAGCATGCAAGCATGGAGAATCCCTGAACAGGCAGAATGGTAGCAAGTAGGCATCCTTTGATCTGAGAATTTGCTTTATACATCTTTCTTCTGTAAATCATTGTTATTGTGTTATTATTAATAAAGTAAGCCTTATTAGTTTTTGTAATTAAAGACATGAGGGCCATACTGCAAATTTGGGAATGATGGTAGGAAATCTAGATACATATATTTCCCTTTCTATCTAAACACCAGAAAGCCTCCTCAGTCAGAGACAGTGGTAGATGTCACAGGGAGATTGATCATTCTGGAGAAGAGTGTCACAGTCATGTGACACTGCGCTTTATGACTGCATCATTTAGCAATGGAAATTCCGGTGGTCCCAATTACCACTGTTAAACAAGGACTAGTAATGCACTTGGGTTAGAAGCTGAACCCAGAAAAAAAGTGCCTTCTAGTTAAAAGGGTGGAATAACTGCCACCCATCACCCACTGTGAAACATCTGTATTGGCTATCAGTTTCCATTTCAAAGTCCTATAAACACCCAACATCTAATCACCTGGAACATCATCTCTTTCACCTTGAAGATCATCTTTTTCACAAAGCCCACCACAGCATTTGCTATCATGTGTGGAGAGCATGGGGGAATGGGACTGCATAGTATTTACCTTGCTGGCTTTTTGAAAGACATGTTAAAATGTCTCTTTTTGTGAAAGTCATTAAATCAGTGATACACACTATTGTTTGCTGTTAGGACTTCAATCTCAACAGTTTGATTTCTGTCATGTATTAGTTTGTATTGCAGTACTGATATACTTTTAAACCTTTATACATGATCTTGAAATGTACATAATTTAGATTTTTGTTTCACAAAATAGAGTAGTAATTCATTTGGCTTTTAACTGATATCTGTAGGTTAAAGATGGCCTCATAAAATTCAAGTCCTATTTACCTAGCAAGATTAATCCTGGCTTTCTGTCCACCACTCAAGGTAGCTCCTCTGTCCCCAATCATTGTTAGGTCTCCATCTTCCAGATGCTCAATATCCTAATAAAAACAGAGCATTATTCAAATAAAAATGTTTGCATTTGTCATTTTACTGGACTTGAAAACAATCCTAAATATTACAGCTAGAACCAAAACAATCACACATATGTTAAAAAGGAGACGTTATTAATCAGAATTGTTTTATAAGACTTTCACTCTTCCAAGAAATGCGCTTATACAGAGTATAAACCACTACAAATTAAATCTGAATTTTAGGAAATGAGGAGTGTTTTTATACTGCCATACAAGATTAGAAAAAGAGACCAACTGCATTTTTAAAAAATGTGTTTTGCAAAAGCTTTTAAATTGTTTTTCATCCATCTTGAGGCTGACAGCAGCAGCATCAAATGCCATGTACTGGATATGGTGTATAATATTTTTCAAGCTGCCAAACAAAATTATCTGTCTTTTGGCAAATTTGTTTTAATGTCCTAGATCACACCTGCCAAATCAAAGACAAAGTTGAAATGTTCTGAAGGACTTTCTCTCAAATACAATGCCAGCTTAAGAAACCAATGCCATTATTGCATTATTTAGAAACAATATATCCACTGCAATTTCTATCTTAACTTTTGCAAGTAAGGAATGTGAAAGATCTTCTAACCTGCATTATTTTCTCCTAGGATTACTTCTATGCCTTTTAAATGGGAAATGGATAAATCTTGAAATATTACAGCAGGATATACAACTCCAACCCACAAAATTATTACTGAATTCAAATGTTTAATATGGCAATAGGGAAAAAACTAGTACATACATATATAGGGTATGAATCATTACTACATTTCATTAAATTTAATTAAAATTAAATTAAATCAAGTCAACTTTCATGATGTCCTCTGTTCAGCCCCTTTAGGAGTGTTGCCCTGATCTCTCATTTAAAATTAAGTGGGATCTCATCCCACAAAGGCCCTGTGTGCATAATTATTTATGGATCTAGCCAATTTAAATTACAGTTAAACATGGAGTTATTTTGCATAATGTCCTATATTTCAATGGCATTTTATCAATTCTTAAATATTATTTTATTTTGGATGTTGGGCTTGCTTTTGGGAATCCAAGGGCAACGAGGCTTCCATGGGAACCCTGTAGTTTTCCATGCAATAATGCTTTGCCAGTTTTTATTGTCACAGAATGAAAAACAAGATGTTCAACTCAAAATGTATTTAAATATGAACTTACTTTTTTAAGAGCACAGGCTCTTAGAACCTTCTCATATTTTTCTTTCCGATATTCCTTTCCAAAGAGTATGTTATTTCTTACTGTGCCAGAAAATACCCAGGGTTGCTGAGAAACATAAGCTATCTTTCCTTGAATATCTATAAAACCTTTGGTTGTAGACAGTTCACCCAGGACAGCACTCAAGAGTGAAGACTGGAAGCATTGGTGGGGAAGAAAAAAAAGTCAAAATTGTAAATAATGACATGCACAACACACTTAAGTCTTTCAATTCTTTTTACACATAAGTACAACTTATTTGTATAACCATCACTAAAGGTTCCCTTGGTTTTCTCTTTCTGTCATATTATGGACCTTTGTGCTTTCTCTGTCCATGTCTGTAATAGCTACAATTAGGATTAATCATAGTTAATACTAATTACTATGTCTTCCTAATTGGAGTTGGCTAATTGTTTTACTTGCAGCCAAGAGATAAGTCAGCGAACTAATCAGTCAGCTAACTCAATCTGGTATTTTATGCCAGAATGGGCTTTGGGATGAAATAAAGAGGGATATTGATTCATGAATAGTGAAAACCATTTGATAACAAAGCAGCCCTAACACAGGCAGATATTTGTTACAGTAAAAGTTACAAAAGCAAGAAACTTTAAAAAACTGCCTTATAGCTGCTTTTTAGCTACACTGATATGGCTCATTTATTGGATGCCACAAGTAAAATTAACTAGTATATAGTGGGAATTTTAAAAAGCTTAAGGAAATGGAGCTGAATCTAGAATGTATCAAACAATTCATTACATCTCTCCATACCTTTCTATCCTTGTAAACCATCCTTGATTCTCCTATGTCCTTACACTGCTTCAAGAATATTTTGTTCATTAAATTTTTCAATTCTGTCTTTTTGAGGAGCTCATTAACTTCATCCAACCACAACTTTGTTGGTCTTCCCCTTCTTCCCGACCCATGTACTCTTCCTTCATATATTCAGTTCAATTCATTATTTCTATTTGATATGACCAAACTATTTCAACATACATGTACCAGTCCTTCACTTTTGTATTCAGTCAGGACATGCATTCATCACCCATTCATTTTTTATCTTATTTATTTGTTTATTTGTTTATTATTTAATGTATAGGCACCCAACTCCCAGTTGACTCTGGGCAGCTTACAACTAAACTTTTTTTCAACAAAGGATACGACAGTCCAGAAAAGCAAAATACAAAAACCAAAATAAGTAAAACCAAAAAATAAAATAAAAGCATAACAAAACAAAACAAAAAACTAAAAGGGGCTCCAAAGTCATCCTATCCCCAAGGCCTAGGAGGACAACCAGATGTTCAATGATTTCCAGAATGAAATAATGGTGGAGCCACATGATTCTTGATCCTATCTCTTGATCCTATTCTTGATCCTCTCTTTTCTTATATTACCACACACATACACACACACATTTTCACTCTGCTGAATTTACCTTTATGTTTCTTCTGCCACTCAGTTCTCACTTTCTTATAACTAAGAGGGCAGAAGCACACTATTATACACAGTGATTTTCACTTCTTTTAACAAACATTCATTGCTTGCAACAGAACACACATTACTATTTTGTGAGTTTTGTATTCTAGTATCTTTCTCTTCTTTTCTTTTATTCTAGACTCATATTTTCCCAAGATCTACCCCAGACACTGCAAAAAAGGGTATGTCCCACATTCAGAATCTCCCATCACCACATATTCTTCACCAATTATCTCATGCTTTCATTATGAACAATAAGATCCATAATGCTTTTTGGTTCATAATTAATAATAATAGTAATTTATTAAATGTATATGCTGCCCAACTCCCAGTGACTCTGAGAGGTTTAGGGATTGTAAAAACATTTAAAAACAAGAAAACAACACATAAAAAGAAACAAAGGTAGCAGAGATAGCAAACCCAGATGGGAACAAAGAAAAAGAAGAAAAGGCGGCTTCGATCACACTCACCAAAGGCCTGGGCAAAGATTCATACCTATTCGTTGTATATTTATGAAAAGACTGATGGTTAAATCATATTCAGTCTCCTGCATGCATTCCTTAACTCAGTTCCACAAGATAAGGCTAGCTTCAGTCAGATCTATTACATTCTTTCCCTTTCTATTTGTTGCATACACATACACATGCCTGTTTTTTCCTTCTCTTATTTCTTGTATTAATTCATGTTCTTTACCATTTATTTCCCTTCATTCCAAGTTGCAATCTTCCCTCACCAGATGGGCCCATAGACTTTGACTTCCACATCCCATCCTGGCTTTGCTCATCTGAGGCTTTCACATAATGCTTTTTAGCAAGACAGATACGACATAAACTAGCCTTAACCCCACCCACATTACCTGTTAATGGGAAAGTCAGTATTGGTCAGTACTGACCACTATGCCACGAGCGCAAACAAAGCTCAGTGTTACCTCATCACACTCAAACTATTCTGTACAAGCGTGGATTTCAACAGATAGAAACCCAGAGTGTGATCTGGGGCAAAATGTCTGTTTTCACATGCTTCAGAATTAACCTTTGAGGGACAACATAACAATAAAAAGATCAAGACTTACCTTTCCTGCTGCCACAGGGCCAATCACAGTTAGCAATTCTCCTGATCTGACAGTAAATGAAATGTTTTGAAGTGTTGCCATTTCCATTGTCTATTCATTTGGGAAGAAATGCATATGGTTTTATTATTTATGCATTTATTTATTTGCTTTCATTAACTGAATACAAACAAACAAAACAATACACAAATTTATGAAGAAAAAATAAAACTGAAGAAAATTAAACAAAAATATGTTCATCGACTTTATTCATTGTTCTGTGTCTTCAACTCAGTCTTGACTCCTGGTAAGTGCCTGGACAAGTCCCTGAAGTTTTCTTGGCAAAGTTTTTTAGAAGTGGTTTGCCATTGCTTCCTTCCTAGGGCTGAGAGAAAGTGACTGGCCCAAAGTCACCTAGCTGGCTTTGTGCCCAAGGCAGAACTAGAACTCACGGTCTCCCAGTTTTTAGCCTGGGAGTAATAACCCTAACTATTACACCAAACTGGCTCTCCTCCTTCTCAAGGCCACAACTATATTTCTCTATACCTTTCCGATTACAAAAAAGTGTCACTTGGCGATTACTGAGCATAGATACCCATGCTTCTTGAGGCCAGAAGAAACCCACGGCCAGTGTTTCTTGCTGCAGAGCAGAAAAGAATGGCCTTTGGGCTGATGATTTGCCTCAGTAAGGCTCTCACAGTGTCAATATGAGAAAAAGATTCAAAATGCCATTTCTTAAAATCATTGTAATAGTTACAGTAATTATTTTAAATCTATTATATTTTGATCCCAAGACATTTAATATGACAATAATTAAATGTCTAATGTATAAATATCCTAGAAGGGCCCAAGAAAGAGAATTTCTGTGGATGGGAAATCATCCACAATTTGGTACTAGCCAATAGATGCGCAAAATGGTACAATTCAAAATTTGGAAAACTGAATTTCCCTTTTTGAATAGGCAACTGCATATTTTTAAAATATATATTTTAAACTAAAGATTGCCACAAAAATTTATAACATTATTACATTTTTGAAAATGTTTTGCAGATACATGTATAGGAATTCCACGCAAAATTTGTAACATTCTAAAAAATACATCCCCAAGTGTAAGGCTTCTATCGAGATCCCAAGATCTCATATTTCATTCACATTTAAAGTGATTATCTGTGAAATATCACATGGAATAAAAAATGCAAGATAGTATATACATTCAGGATAAATATGAAACTGATAATTGCTTATAAAATTAATGGATTTTACTTATTTACAGTATAGCTAATTCATACCTAATTCATAAAGTAAAATCATAATTAGAAATACCTCTTAAATTTTAGACCACCATTGCACAAATAAAACAACCCCAAACAAAAGTTAGAAATAGTATCCATTTTAATCAGACCAGAAAACAAAGTAAGGAGCAAGAAATCAGCATGAGAAATCATTATTCATGTTCAGAAATAAAAAATTGCCAATATTCTCTTTCAACTTTCTCATCCTCTTTTATTTGATCCAGGTACCTTTAATGCTACTAAACATTAAACATGATTGGATTTAAAATGATAATCAAGTTTCCAGTAAAGGTAGGATTAAACATAACGCAATGTTTCCAGTCCTGCAGTACTGCTCCACCATGACTGCAAACAGAAATAGCAGGGTATTTGCCTTCTTAAACATTATGCTTTAATCTCCACAAGGTGGCACAAATAGCTCATTTTATTCCTTCTTGTGACTTCTCATGACTTGAACTTTCTGGTTATATAATCAACCTTTCCCTTCACTCTGACCATGTATTGACTTCACTAGAAGCATTCCAGGTTCAGCCAACTACAATGTAACTTACATATAATTATGCAATCCAGAACATGGTTGCTAAACAGAAAAAGAAAACACTAGCAATATAGTACATGCTTTGGAAAGAGATACCCATTGAAAAAGGTAATTGGGAGCCCCAGGAGTCTTAAAAGGATCATCTGAATGAATCTCAATATGCAAGACACCTGCCAATTCCACCAAACTTCATAAAAAAAGTTTCAAAGAAAAAGGAGGCCCATAAAGTCTCACAAGATTGACCGGCCCAAGCAAACCATGACTTGATGCTGAGCAATAAATGTTTGGTGCTAGTGAGGGCGGACTTGTTTCAGTTTATCTTGACTCCACAAAAGAAAGTCTGTTCATTGTCCCATGACATCAAAAAAATGCACCACCTCTTTTTAGGTCTTTCAAAACAACTTCACAGAAGTCATTCCATCTGATGAATTTATATCCCAGTAGTAACTGGATTATGTTTCCTTGGCAAATGATAGGAACTATGCCAAGTGAACATACTGCTCCTACTTCATTAGGCTGCAGACATAGTGAAGTCACAGCCCAGAAGGGCTATAAATTTTCCAGTAAAGAGAACGGATATCATCATGCTTAACCAAAACATTTATATAGCATTTTCTATTGTTCCACTGTCCTTCACTGCACTTATACAGAGCAGGATAATATTATGAGTTTCATTCTGGGGGGTAGCACAAGAGTGGGTGGGAAGGAGCTAAAATAAGTGGTTTATGAAAAGCCAACTAGTAAGTTTGTGGCTAAGATTTCAAACTGAGGTCCTGCCAGATGTCACTGTTGTTCCTACAGCTCATATTGATTTCTGAAAGCCACATATTTCATTGCATTACTGAGTAATGTGTTTTATCTGAAAATGGGGAAGTGTTTGAGAAAGGGAGAAAAGTACTTTTATTTTAAAAACAACGTGACAGGGGAAACAACTGCTGCTTGTCCAGGAGTATCCATCACCACCCCCAAATTTTGGATCCTTTAGTTGGGGTGGCAAAAGTTAATGGATACGCTTGGATTCTATATTGCCATTTAGAATAAAGGTTATTACCTTGTCCCAGGAGCAAGTCAAATCTTGCACATTAAGGAAAGGATTTTCACTGTTATTTTTGAGCTGTGGACTGAGCTGAGAAATTTCATCAAGGATTAGAAAGTTCTGCATCAGGGGGAGGAAAAAGAATTAAGATTGTATAAATACAAAACAGAAAAGACTAATTTATTTTTTGCTGATATTTTTTCAGAAATACTTCCACACAATCAAAGGCTTTCAATATATTCAAAGAGTATACAGATAGGGAAAGTAAATTAATTTTACAAAAAATATTATCTATCTACTACTAAAACTCTCATTGTGGTTATCTGTTTGTCTGTTTGTACCCTCAAGTTAGCCCAAACTGTGCATTATACTGCAACAATTTTTGAATCAAAGTACTTAAAATGCGCTAACTTAAAAAATTTGTAAAAAATCCGAGACCCATTGCTCCTGTGGAATTGAAATTTCCATGATGTTGAGACCAG